CTTAACAAAAATTGTTTGTTCAATATCATAAATAAATTATATTTCGAGGAACATACATTGGATATAAAATTTAAATTCATATTCTTCTCTTTGGAAATTGTATCTATGTTCAAAAAACTTAATTGTCAATATTGAAAATGAAAGTTTTTGTATCCATTTATTTTATACAACAAAGTAAGAAATCTTAAAAAAGAAGATAAACTAAAGGGAAAGAAATAAAAATAATAATTTTCTACCTTTCTATGATTTTCTTTCTCATTCATTTCTTTTTGTTGAAAATACAATACATATATATATATATATATATAATATTGGATTGGTCGAAGGAGAAATGAAATGGTAAAATCTTGAAAAAGAAAAGCTCAGCATACACACTAACTCTAATTTCAATTTTATTTAGCTTTCTTTTCTATTTATCACCCATTTAGAAACTGATTGTTCGGCAGAACTTACCTCGGATGGCAGTCAGACTGATTTTGTTGATGCGAGTCACGTTGGCACAAGCACACAAAGAGATGTGAAAGAAATGAAGAAGGCGAAAACGAAGGAACATGGTGATGGAGGAGGAAGAGAAAAAGGGATGAGATGGAAAAATCAATCAGATAAAAGTAGGTTTTTGCAAGTTTTCACAAGAAAATATTTTTTTGAACATATAAGTAAAATAAATAGATTTTTTTGAAATCTGGAATCGATTTTATTAGTTCTCTCATGGACCTGATTGAAAATATTGCTTATCAAAGCTTTCCCTGTTTTCTCGCGTGCAACTTTCTAATATACTATGTATAATGAAAAAAAGAAAGAAAGAAGAAAAGAGAAAATGATGATGAGGATAACCAAAATTCAATTGTCTCTAGAAGTATTATAATAATGGAACTATAAGTATTTTTTTCTAAGGTATAACAATTTTGGACAATTTTATTTTATTTCTTTTATTTCCTTCTTTCTTTTCTTTTTTGCTTTCAATTTCCCCACACACTATGGACATTGATTTACGAAATAAATAAAGAAATGTAGGAAAATCCTAATCCCTAAAGTGGTTTCGTTTTTCTTCAATATCACGTCAAAATGATGAAGGTTAATAACACATCAAACCGAATGCGGTGACCATGGATGGTAATAAAATGAAATAGGAATGTTTCTCATATGTAAGTGTGCACCATTGAACGTAATAAAATCATCCCAATGGAAAGTGTCAAAGATAATTTAATTGATAAATAACATTGCGAAAAAGGCAGTGGATTAGAAATGTTTGTATATATGTTACCACTAGCAATGTCAATCCAATAACGAGGGTGTTGCCATAAAATTAAATAATATATTACATGTAGAATAAAAAAACTAATTTTACAAAAAAAAAAAAACTTAATTTTTAAACCAATGAAAGCAGTCTAAATACTTCGCGGAACACTACGCGTGAATCATTACCTTTGTTTTGGCTCGTGCATATAAAAACCATTACTTTAATGTTTCGTCAATCTTTTTGCGGTGTACCTTAGATTTTCTCACGGAACACTAAAGCGCGGAGCATAATTTGAACAACACTCTATTATAGCCAATGCTCTAAACCGTTAAAAAATAATTTCAAAAAATACGTTAAACTACAAAAACTTTTGAATTGCTGTATAAGTTTTAATTTCCTCTTGTTTATGAAATAAGCTGCAAACAAACCTTAACAGTTCTGTACTATTACTGCAAAGAAGCTTTACTGAAGGGAATTTTTAAGAGTTTTTTCTTTATTGATTCGCATTCTGTTGCTAAATGAGTACCGATCGCTGATGTCCTTCTATTAACAACATGAGGACTTTTGTATTTTTTACTAAGGCTGTAATTAGAAACAAAAACTTTGTGTAAAAACCGCAAATGTAATAAAATGAACATTTTTGTCAGTTTAATGTATTAACAAAAAATGCGTTTTAACGAAGGATTTATGAAATTTATTGTAAATCAGCATAGTAATAATAGTTTTATAATACTTAGTATAAATGTGATATTTAATGATAAGACAATCCTGACTCTAATTTTGACTTATGTTGTTTGAATAATTTAATTCGCAAAAATGGATTTTAAAAGATAAAGCTTACAAAAGAAGGATATACGTGTAAGACAGTGTACGATCTTCAATTGAATTTTTTTTTCATTTCTTTACATGTACTAACTTGATAAATAAAAGATATGTGTAATGTTGAAGTTGTTTTCATACTGTGCGAGAAAACAAATGAGTACGAATTGTGTTTGTGCAAAAATGTGTGTACACCATAAGTCCTAAAGTGTAAGAGCATACTAGGTTGCGGAACATTTCAAGCATAAAATATTGCTACAACAAACACATTACGATGATACGGTAAGAATAAAAGAATAAATTAAAGGTCATGAATAATGAAAAATTTTCCCATCTTTTTCTCCTCAGCTGTAATGCCTTTTTCCTTTTGTTATACCCTCAATATGCGTATACATATATATATACAATGCTGTATGTTTACATTGAATAATCTCTCATTCTCTTACTAACAGAATGTGTGAGGAATCAAAAAATTCGTAAAAATGTTGCTGTTTTCATTCTCATATAAATGTACGGATATGTAGATGTGTATGTTTCATTGTGGAATACAAAGCATCTCTTTCTACTCATAACCATACATTTTCTTCTCAATCATAAAATATTATGACTTTTTGTTGGCTGCTTCATTTTTTCGTTCTTTTCTCTTGAATCCTTTTGTTTTTTCTTTGCTTTCGATCCAATGTATTCATGCATGTAATCACAAAGATTAGATGGAATCTGTGAGATGTGTATGAATACGTAGTAGTTATATCTGTGGATGAAGAAAGCCTTTCTTCATTGTTTTATTATTTTTATGAGCTCTTTTCGTTTCAAGTAAAATAGAAGAAGAAATATTTGGATAATACGATTTCTTAAATGAATGTTCATACACACAAAACAAAAGCTACTTAGCTTCATGGTTCCCTCAATACTTTTGCTTTACAATTTTTCAAAAGGGTTAAAAATGTAATTAAAAATTTTAAGCTTCATTTCCATACATTTAAATAATTTTCATTCTAATATGAGTATGCTTTAATTGATCTCTGTGGCAATTTATATGTATGCTCTTTCTTTAATTTTACTTAAACCACATCGTGTTATTTTGAGCATAAATTCACATTAAAATTCTATATATCGCATTATAGAATTAATATCTTTTATATGTATAATTCATCCTCTTGCGGCTTTTAAAACAGAAGAATTTTTCTTTTCGCTGTCTAGAGATAATTTCTATGTTCTTGTCTACTTTTTATTTTATTTTAAAAAAAAGGATAGAAACAAAAGAAAAGAAACGAGAAAGTGATAAATATGCAGTGATTCTTACAATGCGACGTAAATTTTCCAAGTGATAAACGTTTCAATGCAATTTCTCAAACAATTCCTAAAATTGATACAAATTTATATTACGTGTTAATACATTTTTCATTCATGCCAAACGACTTTTATCATTCTATCCATTTTACTTAGAGTTTTATATATGGCAAGTGTATATACATATCTATAGATTTATATGTACAGAATGAACGTTTCAAAGATATTGTTATAGATGACTAGCAATATATTTAGCATATTTTTCTATTCGATCACAATGCCACTCGGTACATTGGCTGGATTGAAAATAAGGAAGAAATATTTTTACGCATATATCGATATTTGAGTGGTATCAATTCAATCTTTTACACGTACACCTTACAATGACTGAGAAAATAGAAATAAAGTAAAAGAAGAAGAAGAAAAGAAATTGAATGAGAGAAATGACTAGAAATTTATCATAATGTTTAGGTACGTGCTCCTTTATTGTTGAATATATGAGCAAATTGGTAAAAGTGTTTTGTATGCAACAAAAATATATTACGATAAAGCTAAATACATCCCTACTCACAATTTCAGAATTTTCTCTCACTGATAAGAATTTTAAACACGAAATTTGTATTTACGTCAATATATCAAATTTTACGTTTCATTCAGATTAGTATCAAACGCCTGACTTAAAAGTGATTCAATAACAAATCACTGATTTTTATAAGAGTTATCACATTATAATATAATTTTGGACGTTTATAACATCTTCCTTAAAATGAAACGCCTATTATTACCTATTAGTTGACTTTTTGAGGATTGTGAGAAGGTGGTTGGTTAATTAAAAAAAATCTAGCGAGATTCGTAATATCACGTCAAATATTGCAGCGGGGTGTTTTTGTTGGAAGTATATATGGGATTAATCCTAAGTGAAATAATCACCATTTAAAAGTGATGAACGTCTTTACGTCTATTCATATATGAAAATTAACTTATAGATTCCTCAATTAAGTGGTATAATGTAATTTTAGGACTTAGAAAAGAATTATTTTAGTCTTCAAAGGGATTTTTTTTTCCTTTAAAAATCAAGGGAGAAAATCGAATAAAGGAAGGTTAAAATTCCAAGGATTCCTTTTGACGCATTAAATTCGATTTTTTGAAACATTTTTAAACTTCAAACATGCTGAAGGTATTTAAGGTGTTTTCAATGTTTTGCTAAAGTCATTTATTGATTAACTGCTAAAATTACACTAATTTAAAGGTATTTCAAGAATATAAATAAATGGAAAAGTTTTTAAACAAGAATTAATGTTATGTGTATCAAGTTTCTAGTTTGTTTTTACAAGTTTGTATGATGAGTTAAATGAAAGTGAAAATCGAATTTCAGTCGATAGACTTTGGCTTCATATTTTATCTATCTATCGTAAATGGAAACTTTATTATTTAGAACTATTGAATCTACAGTACCGTTCAACAGTAATGGAATGCACAAAATAGTTCTTCATAAGTTGTTTACTATTGTTTTGAAATTCTGTTGTTATTTCTATTGAAATAGGTGAAATATTTTAATTTCTTTTAGAAAGAGTCGAATTTGTAATGACAAAATTTAAAATTGGAAAAGAAGGAAGTGTATAAAATTTAATTAGTTTAAAAGTTTTATTAAGTTTTTCAATAAAAGTATTGAGTTTCAGCAAATGAAGCAAAAACATACTAAAATATTCTCTTAAACTCTATCGTATTGTAAAACATTATGTTTCATTATCGATATTTTTGTCTGTCCCTTCATGTATGAGAGAAAGCTCAGTTGGTAAAATTGCAATTGGAGTTGTGGTGTTTCGTTCACTTAATAATGGCTTTTGAGAGGACGTTTCTCGCATTGGAAATGTTGGCATGACTTCAATTCTACTAATTGATGTTGCTGTCTTTCGATCGCACCTTTTAATGATTTTTTGAATTCAATGGAAAGAGAGAAGAGGAAAGATAACGAGTGGTAAACTATTTGAAATTTGATTCAATCGAGTGGTAAACCCATTCTGTCTTCATACCTTTGTCCAAAATAGCCTGGCATGCATGAACATTCAAAGTTTCCGTCATCTTTCGGCAGTGATTTGCATGTTCCATGTTGGCATACATCACGATTTTTTTCACAATAATTAAGCTCTTCGTCGCACAACAAACCACCCCATCTAGGATGACAATTACATTCCTGATAATAGTCAGTTTGGAAATGAACAGAGAGAAACAAAATTAAATATACAACAGATGCTGGTTACGACAAAATATGTTTATAATGGCGATAGTAAAGTAAAAAGTTTGATTTAATTACCCATGGGCGAGTACAATTTCCATTTTTGCAGCCTGGATATGGGTGACACTAAAAACATTTTTCATATAAAGATTAATTTATCTTAGGTTTTACAAATGATAATACCTCTGAGCAATTATTTCCTATCCAGCCGACTTTACACCGACATGTTCCTGGTTTTGTACAGTATCCACTTTGCTTATTGCAATTCAAATTACAAATAGCTAGTGATTGAAAAATTTTCAGTTATGTTATATGTCAATGATTTGGATATCGCTACCTCTATCACATAAAAATCCAGTCCATCCGGGTAAACATTGGCATTCAAAAGGATTTGTACATGTTCCATGCATACATCCTGGTAAAATTTGACAATCTCTACAGTTTTTTCCTGTCCAGCCAATCCTACACTATAATTTTTTTTTAAAAAAAAGGCATATGATAGCATTGAAACTTGATTGAAACGAGTGAATTTTTAATATTATTGAGTTCAGCGTTTAATTTAATTTTTCAAACTATTTTTTGGATCCAGAAATTTTTAAAATTGTAAAAAATAAGAAATGTTTAAAATTTAAACTGTAGAATGTATTAATGATTTATTTACCTTACATTCTCCAGCGTTTTCACAATATCCGTGAGTTGGATGACAATCTTCTCTGCAAATTGCTTTTTAAGTGACAAAAAATTAAAAGTTTTACTTTTAAAATGTATATCCATTTTTATTTACAATAAAATGTAGATTAATAGTATTAGAAAAAATTACAGCATGAAGAAAATAAAATACATACGTTCATTGCAAAAGACACCTCTCCATCCCTTAACACACTTGCACTCAAATGGATTGTGGCAAATGCCATTCTGACACCCCGGCAGTGGAATACATTGTTCACAGTTTTCACCGTAGAAGCCAAGCTTGCAGCGACATTCAAATGGTCGCTTACAATATCCATTCTGTGGATCACATTTTTGTCTGCATATAGGTACATCACAAAGGTCTCCTTGCCAACCTTTATATTATTGTTATAGAAAAGATATTATTCAATCAAGTTCAAATTTATTACGATAAAAAAAATAAAAACTTTTTTGGGTTTCAAATTAATTGGTTTTGGGAGTCATGCTTGTCTCGCAAATAATTTTATTCACCAAACTATGTTTAATCTAAATTTTAATTTTAAAAATAAAACACTTTTAGATTAATAATCATAAAAGAATTTACAAAATTAAAAAATTTGTTGTAAGACTTGCAAAAGCTTAAATAAGGCTTAAATTGAATAATTTTAATTTACAAAAAATAATAAATTCAAACTTAACGGTTTTTACAATTTTAAGATTTATAAAACGATACTTTACCGGGTAAGCATTTCAAATCACCATTTTCATCACATTTGTAATGAAAATATTCATTTTGTTGAGGAACTTCGCAGGCCTTGAATGAAAAAGATTGCACATTGGTTTAATTTTAAAAATTTGCGGAAATGAGGCACTTTTTGAAAACTATCACCATAAGTCTTGGGAAATGTCTCATTAGAAAGTTGACATTTATACAAGTTTTTTCGTCCATCTGGTGCCGAGTAGCAGGTCCTTAAAGTTGGGTATAAGCAAATTTTCAGTTTTTTGAGATTCTTTATTCAAATTCAATTTTCACGAAAAATAATCAACCAAATAAAAACTAGAATTAAATTTCTGAAAGCATATAATTGGACCTTTATTTTGATGTATCATACTATTTATTATATATTACGTATTGATGTCAATTTTTTTAATGAGACATCTCTGAAGACGTATGCTGATGATTTTCCAAAAAGTGTCTCATTTCCGCAAATTTTTAAAATTCGACCACTGCCGATTGTTACAATTATAAATAAAAATAGAAATGAGATTCAAATTAACGGGTCAATAAAGAGCAACAAAAACATTATCATAATCTGCTCAGTTCGTAATAAAGATATAAACATACATATAATTTGGCTCAACGCTGCCGCGCACATAAAAGTAAAATTCACTAATTGAATTTCTAACGGGTCTGAAATAAAAATTCTAATTATGATGTTCACGCATTTCTTTTTATTTTCTTTTTGTTCGTTGTATGTATTGTTCTTTCAATCTCTTATTTTCTTTTTTTTTTTGGGAAAGTTCCAATAAATAAATGATTCGGTACACAAACAACATGAGAATAAAAATAATATGTAGAAAGAATAAAAGAGAAAAAGAAATTCAATTAATACATTTTGTGTTAATGAAAGACATTAATTGAGTAATTTATATCCGCACACCGAATGTAGAACTTGCTTATTCTTTCCACAACATACAATCATATAAAATCTCATTTTCTCACCTGTTTCTTCCATTTTGGTATATTTTTGTTATTGTTAGCTTTAACAAGTGCAAGGACTTGTATAGAGCACACACTAATTAGAAGTAATATCTGTTTATCGAGCATATTATATGTATTGTAATGTAACTTCTTTTTGACTGCGAGCTCTTCACATACACTTTTTTATTTGTGTTATTCTCTTGTCGCAAGTATTTATACAGCAAGCGATCAAGCGAAAAAGTATCAATGTAATTCTATACACAACTTGAAGAAGACTGTTAGGCGCTCATGGTTTGAAGAATGTTTATGCTGAAATGATGATGAAACGAAGAGAAAGAGGAGAGAATAAATGATATTCTTGAGTAGTATTATTATACCTGCGACTTTATACTAGAACTGACGATTCGTTGTATAAAGATGACAATGAATTATTGAATTTAAAAATTTAGAAATAGTAATATGTATGGCAAATTATAAAAATAAATCACTCATTGATATTTTTAAAATAATGTGGGTAAAGTGAATATTATAAAACTAAATATAACAGTTTAATGTTCTTCTTTTTACAAAGATTTATTTTCTTTGTCAATTTGTGTATGGATGCCCATATAGCTTTTAACTAGTATTGATGAGACCAATAATTTTTTTTTTAAAATAAATTTGCAGAAATGGCAAAATTTCTCATTTGTTCTTTACTGAGGTGTTGCAAGGCCCGGGATATTCGGTTTCCAGGTAATTTAATAAATTAAAAATTAATAATTTAACATCTTTTGGATCAAATTTAAATTGTATGTTAATTTTTTTAAAAATATTTTACGACTGCGCCATTGTAAACCAGAATCATTTTTAAAAAGTATTAAAGGCAAATCCGCAGATAAAAAGAACTTAACGTATAAAAATCAAATGCAATAATGAGAAAAGGCAACTCAAAAACGCTCCTTTTTGTTCATGTCTCAAAAATTAAACATTTATATAACGCAATGAGGACAAAAACTTAAAGCTTTAGCTAGCCAAAATCAATTTTATATGATTTCAATATTTTAAATCTAGTAATTATTTAAATATTTAAGAATAAAAATTTTGATTTTTGAGTTCCGTTGCTAGAATAAAATTAAATTAACAAGATATATTACATTGATTTAATAAATTTCAATAAAATGTAATCCACCAAAAATAAATCGTATCTGCAGATTTACCCATATAACACATTAGGTGTGTAATGAATGTAATCATTCCAATGAGATATAAACAGTGTGGTAAAAGAATTATTACTTTTACGATAAAATTACAAAATAATAAACAAAATTTGTTCTTTTACACATGGATCACTGTCATTTGACGTCATAAGCATAGTTGTTATGCAATGAATGATATATTTTGTATTAAGCTACAGTTGCAACAACTTTTTTTTCTCTTTCAAATAATTTCTCTTTCTCTCATTCTTAAAATTCATTCATCCAATAGTATTGTAAATAAAAGGTAAGCATTTAACGGTTCTAGTTAGTTCTGAAATAACTGCTTTTTCTGCTTTTGTGTATATTGTGAGAAAATGAAACGTAATTTCTGCATCTTAGAACGCAAACATACTACCGATTACAGAGGCATTCATTATTTTGGTGAAAAATAAGCAAGAAGTGTTTTCTCCACACTTAGATATCGAAAAATGACAAGGAATAAATAAAAAAAAATGTTTAATCATGATGATAATGTTTGTAGAACTTAAAAAGCCTCAACATTTCAGACATAAGGTAGAGTTTAATTTTATAGTGAAAGTAGCAACGATAAGGAAGCGAAAATTGAAAATATATTTCCATGAGTCATCGAACGTCGGCACAGGAAAGAGAAATATTTAAGATAAAAAAACATATTTCAGATGCCTTTCAGCACTTTATTATGTATTCTTATAGTAAAAGTAAAGAAAACTCTTCAAACAACAAAAAGTCATAAGACAGAATAATAAAATCTCGGTAATGCTAAAATTTTGTCGAAGTTTTTGACGTACAAAGTGAGAGAAAGGAAGAAAAATATTTAATGAGGAACACTGGGAGACAAAATATTGATTTAGATTATTTTATAATCCCTGCGAGAATACAAAATTAATATTTGCTTAAGGATTGTTTCATCCTAAACCATGACATGAAAGTATTTTCTTCTCCCTCTTCAATGCTTGCTCTTCCTTACAACTTTCTTTCATTATATACTCACACCATTCTCACTATATTGTAGCATTATGCTGTACAATCCCCGTCGCATGGGATCAAATATTTTAATCTCATTTTTACCAAGGTTGGTAAAGTATAAAATTTCACTGGGTTTGTGAAAGCTTTGTAACTTTTTCTATCATTCTTATTCCCGTTCTCCTTCTCTTTACTCACTTCATCCTTCGCACATTACAATACATTGGGTGAAAGTTTCTGAATAGAAAATCGCGTAATAAAACAGATTTTGAGAGGATGAAAATGTATCAGCATAAGACAATTTCTAAGGGAAAACTTGTACATAAACAATAAATTTATATGATAACATAAACCTCTGTCGAGAATGAAGAAATGAGACACAGGTAAAGGAAGAAAATGAAAAAATAAGTAAAATAATTCTATAAACATTTTAACAAATTTGTTTTGCTGATTACTTTCACCTGAGATATCAAAATTATTCCATAGTAAAATGTTGTTTGTGATGATGGAACGAACCTGAAATAACGTATATAGAAAATAATGGCTTCAGTAACAAAAAAAAATGCTTATTTTGGGTTGCTATTGGGGTAAGAAAAACTTTTTTGTTCTCACCACTCACAGCTCATTGTCATAACTATAGTCGTATAGGCATGTAAGGTAAAACAGCACAACCAAAAGATTAAAATCACCAGAAATATGAGCGAGATTCGGAATAATTAATAAATACTAAGGCGTGAATAAGCGGATGCCTCTCTCCGCAAAAGGCACTTTATCATTCGCAAATTGAGTCACGTTTTTTGTTTGTATGTTGTTGAGAAGAGCGATACCGGAGCCTCATATGCTGAACAAGAATTTGTATTTTTTCCTTTTTGATAAATTTTTTATTTTCAACCATGAATACATATACGCATAATGTTGCATAAAAAATTGCCTTTTTGTCTAAATTGGATCCGGTTTTGTGTATAGCATATACGCTATATCAACTTACATATTTATATATTTGCATGTACGCAACAAGAAGCGTCAAACAACAAAAAAAAAGCACAAAATTTTCAACACACAACTTACAAATGAAGCCATTTTTCATTGTAAAGGCTCTTTTGTACATTTATATATACGCATATCCACTTTCTCCTTTATTTTTATTTGCATGGGATGAGTTAAAAAGATCAAAATTAAATTGAATGTTGGAGTCAGCACAAAAATTTACAATTTATTTATGCAATAATTTTCATTAAATTAACTGTTTCTCTGCTTCGTTTAATTAATTTACCTTAAATATTGCTTAATGAAAAGGATAATTGTTGTTTTGATGTGATCCCTTTATGGAGAACTTTCAGTTTTCTCATTTTTATAAACTATATGAAGCAAGGAATTAACATAAAGTTTTATCATGTTTACGTGATTACATTTTAAATTCACATTATACACTTTGGGGTTTCAAACCTATTTATTTTGATTGATGTAATCCTTATATTTATATATATATATATATATATACACATGTTGATCGATTAGAAAGTTAATTTATTGTTAAACAATACATTCTTTCACTTTGAAACTGTCAATCTATCGAATCGAAAGTGAAAAGCTATTTCCATACTTGAATTTTCATATTTTGAACAGTACGATTAAAATTCTTCATAAAAATTTTATGATAAAATTTAAAAGAAAAACTCTAGTGAAACGTTAAAACCAACTTTTTTCTTCATCTCAAACAAAGGGGAGAAAAGTTTTAATTGCTTTTTGTACGGCAATTAAAATTTTCTTTTCTTTAAGAAAAAAATATACAAAAAAAGTCAAGAGATGAAATGCTTTAAAATTCATTTAATTTTTGATGAGCTTCGAGAAAATTTACAATGCGTCGCTTGCAGCAAATAGGTAGTAAATTCATTTAAAAGAACAAAAATATTTTTAAATATATTTTACCGTTTTTTTTTTCAAAAATTTAAATTTTAAATGTTTTAGTTTTTTCTTCAAACTTTAATTTTTATAAAAATTCAATTCAATTACATATATCATTTTAATAAAAAATACTGTCCCCCTATTTTTTTTTGTTAATATCTAGCAATATGTAGCTTTTAAAACATACTGTAATACATAGAATTTATTTTGGTATTTGAAATTGAAAATGTCAAAAATTTGATTCGAGTCAAATATAAAATTATATTTGTCTTGTTTGTTGGGTATGTGATGTATTTAATTTTGCAATAAAATTAAAAGTTTAAAATTGTATATAAAAGCACAATTTGCAGTAATAGATTGAATAATTCCCTTGACGAACAACTTTATTGTATGAATAAAAGTTACCAATTTTCCTCTTTATATTCTATTTGATTCAAGCAAACCTCTGCTTTGCAGTATACTTTTATACCAAATCTCACACACATACATAACAAAAAAAGTTCGTGATGAATACAAAAGTCATGCTTTTGCTATATTGCTGTTAGTTTGCCGTGTGGCAGATGAGAAATTAAGATCAATGTGATGATTATTTTTAATTACTATTTGTGGAAGAGAGAAATCTGATTTGAAAAGAATATGGGAATGTGAGTGAAAGAGAAAAGAATAATAAAATAAACTGCGATGAAAGATCTATTGTAATTGACAGGCGATAGAACAACAAACATGCTCTGCCATTCTGTCTATCAATTTACTTATTATTTTGTTGTTGTATTCTTTTACAAGCAATAGTCGAAAATTTGAACCTTATAGATGTGATTAATGTGATAACATAATGAAATTTATTTAATTATTCTCCGATTATCAATGTTATTTTACATAGCATTAACATCATCATAACATGATAATGGAAATCTTTTCATCGTTGAAAGAAATTGACTTATATATTGCGTTGAGAAAACGTAATCCAAGATGAAACTTTTCGTCATTCAATGGCTCACGAAATTTAATTAGAAAAAACTTTCTCCCTTAATTCTTTTCTCATTTTCCTTCAATTACCTATTGCGCAAATTCTAATTAAAATGAAAGTGACAAACATGTAGCTTTCATTTATTATCTCCATTTCCCGATTTTACAAAACCTTTGGCTTTTTATTGATATTTCCAATAAAAAATAAAAGAAAATTGAAACTCACCAAGTTTAGCAAATTATATTTATTTCGACTTTGGGAGTGCATTACAATTCTTGAAAATCTAGACTAGAAATTTTGTTTATAAATACATCACTTTTTCAAGAAAGGCTTACTAAAACAGGAATCAGGATACTTTTGCTTATAAACTTTATGATCCGGCGTTTTGTAAGCTTGACATGTAACATTTCTAAAGTGATAGCATTCATCTGGTCGTGTTGTACTTTGCTCTGTCTGCAATAAAAAAAGGAATATGAATATATTTGTTTTACGATGCAATCAGCAATTGGAATATAAAAAGCAGAAGCAAAAATTTGCTTACGAGATCATTATTATCTTTATTTATAGCTGATGTACAGTGAGCAGGTGATTTGAAATGCTTTTCATCATCTCCTTTATTGATGGACGAGTATTCAGGCGGTTGACTGTTTTGTTTAGTTTGTAAGTTTTTAAACGATTCCTCAAGGAGTAAAGGTGCATTTTCATGTTTCAGCACGACAGTGGTTTGTGATTTTACATCAGGTATCGATTGTCCTTTTCTGTTGTTATTCGATTTAAGTATTCCTTTATTTTGAACTGCATGAGCAATAGGCTTTGGAACAACCGCCTTTGCTTTGTCATTTTGAGCTGATGCCTTTATATTTAAAGTTTCTTTGCAATTTTTCTTAACTAGAAATGAAAAGTGTATATGATTGTCATCTAAATGCTTCGCAATACTTTTATAAGTAACAGCAGCACAAATCTCTTCATCACGTAATTTAAATATGTCATCATCGTAAGTAAGACATTTCTCTACAAATTTTATCTATCGCAATTATTATTTTTGAGACCGGAAATAAAAAAAAGTGAGTGATAATTAAATATGATAATTGATTGAAAATAAATGTTCAAATAATTAAAGACGATACTACCTTACAGTGATTTTCCTTTGGTGATTTTATCATCAATTCATAGAGATACGATTCAGGATTTAGTTGTTCATGCTCGTTAAGTAGAAATATTATGAAATAAATCATTTTTGTCAATGGATTGGTATGATAATAAAAAATAAAATTGGAATCAAATGCTTGAATAAGAGTCAATGCCGACAATAATTGATCGCTTTGAAATGGAACCGATGAAACTTGAAATTGTGAAAATATTTCCATGTTATTGTGACATCGAATAAAATGCTCCGGAAAGCTGCTCTTCGTGCCGGACCAATTGCATTCCCATATTTTCAATAAATTGCCCAAGCATTCGATACGGTTATTCGGATTTTCTTCACTATTTTTCATTGTCACCAGATGCAATGATTCATAGCACTAAAATAGATAAAAAGTTGAAAAAGTATCTTAAGAGAAAATGAAAAAGACGTGAAAGGTAAAAGAAATTGCATTTTTCCACACAAAAAAATTCTCCAGAGTCCATACATAACGAGAGATTTCCTTATTTTTTCAATTTTTAGTAGGCTACATAAAGAAGATTTGACTTCTACCTTTATTGATTCTATGCACGCACGACCGTAATCGAATTTTGTCTTCGGAATTCTTAATAGGAAAATGAGAGAGCACAAAAAAAATTCTCAAGCATACCTCACATTGCAAATGCATAGATTTTCCACACGGTGCACAAAAGTTATGCTTTCGACTACACGAAAATATCTTGTCGTATCTCGAGAGCTCATTGAAACATGAGAGGCAAATGATTTTTGCCATATTTACTATGACAACCGTTCTTCCACTTCCGAAATATACTGCGCGGCTTGAACTACGCGAAATATATGGAGGAATAAAACAAAAAATTTTTTTGCTCGTTGTTTGAAATATTATCTGCAGTTTTATGTTTCTCTGTGTATATATTTTTAGTACAGGGAAATATTGATAAGATAAGCATGCCTTCAATTATTATTATAAAAGAAATGACGATTGAAATGTAGAGTTACATTTTTGATGGTGACAAAAATAAAAATTATAAGCAAACAACTTTTGGTATCATGCTTTCTGAAGCGTATCATTTATGATTTTTATGTTATTATTTATAAAAAAATTTACAAAAGTCCTCGTGTTATTGATCGAGAGTCTTCAGCACATTTTTGACGCAGCTCTTGATTATCAAGTAAAGACGAATCAACTAGTAAAATAGAGCATTAACATGTCTTTAGAAACATTTAACACACATTTTTCACATTACCTACAAAATTATGCGCAATTTAAGAAGTTCGTATTTCTTACATTTTTTATTATAATTCATAATGCTTTATTTTTATAGTAATCAACAATTTTCCATGAAATAAATGAAGTTTAAAAGAACTTGACAACTAGAAACTAAAAGTTAAAGTAGAAAGCCATTGTTTTAAGCTCTCATTGTTTTAAGATAAAACTGAGCTAATAAAACAATCCCGAGCTCTTTAAGGTGTCTGATTAGGGAAATCTCAGCCTGCCTCGAACTATTCTGAACGAACAAAGTGTATTATTAAGCTCCCTTTTAGAAAACTGAAAAGCGCTAAAAAGAGAAAGAAAAGAAAATAATAAAATGTCTTTGGTAGGTAGGAGCACAAGCATCAATTACGCATAACATTATGTAATATTAAACTTTTGAACAAAAACCGTAAACCGATCCAAATTTATTGCTTTTATGTCAAAAATATAAATGTTAATATTCAAACAAGCTTACTCAAAACGAGATAGCAATGGAGTATGAAAGGAGAATCAATAAGGAATATCTTAGCTTTGAATTTAATCCTATTGAAAATATAAGCACAAATTGAATCAATTGGTTATCAATTCAACAATAATTTAGGGCTCTTTCAATCAGATAACAAAAGTTGAGAAAATCAATTTTAGAAGTACGGAAAATTTCTTTAAGCTATATGTTGCTTCTTCCTAACACTCTCTTATTTTTGTGTTGCCTTTCTATTTATTTCTTTACAATTTATTGTGTGATTTTGCGTTATTGTGGGGAAAGTTTTGTTCCGGGTGGTATGTTTATAAATAACTCTTTTTCAATCTCATTAGATGAAGAAAAAGGAGCATTGATGTTTTATAGAATAATAAGTCAACAATGTTTGATACGGCTCGGAGGAAATTTAAATTTTACGAATATTTTGTCAAAGATTTGTTATATTTCTTCTCCAATAAAGCTATTGTATAAGATGTGATAAGACGAAGTTTTTATGAATAGAATATTTGAAATTTGGCGATAAAAAGTTTGTTGCTAATGAGCTTATTGTGGAATTATTAATTACAACACTTTATAATAAGATTTAAATTTGAGATTGATTGATTGAATTAAATAGCGTAAAATCGTAAATTTAGAATGAAGTTTTACTAGAAAATTTATACAACATTTACATATAAAAGTTATTAAATTAATTAATCAATTATTATTAAAACTAATTCTAGGTATGTTTATTTAAAGCAGTTGATTTAATAAAACTTCATAAATGATTTTGACTCACAGTGATATATATTTTTAAATTCACGAGCAATTAAAACAAAATGACATAAAATTTCAAGAGAAAAATTTTAAGTCCCATTAAAAATAATTCTAAAGATATTTAACACAAATGCCACAAAATGAAATGTCATTTTAATTGATAATTTCAATCATTTAATTTATATTAAATGTTAAATCAACGTAGCTATTTTAATTTTATGAAAGCTATTTTGAATATTTTTGCATCTTCTGCCTCTCTCTCTTTTATCTACTGCTGGCTTCACAGAACAAGGATGAATTAATTTCGCATAAAGCCATAAAACAAAGTTCTTAATTAAGAGCGACATCGTATCCATAAAAAATCTACTGACAATAAAATCTTCCATCATTTTTCTCTGCTAATATCTCTCTTTTATTCTATTTTTTGTATACTGCGAAAGAAGTACTGTTTTAAGGCTAATTTGTAACACGCGTTGTGTAATAGGACGCTAAAATTTATGTTTGTGTACATAACCTGTCATGAAATATTTCTGTCATAAATTCAAAGCAACTACACCTTCGCATATACACCAATTTATTTTATCAAAATACCTTATACACCTTACATTTTTTGTCCCTTGGAGACTTATTTACGGAGGATACAGACAATTTCATTTTATTAAATTTCTAAACAGTGTTTTTTTCCATTTAGACATTACAAAGCTAAATTAACATAAAACAGCTGATTTTCAAATAGTTAAGCTATCAATTTAATGTCTGACTTTAACTTTTATATAGTCACGTTGACAAATTCCTCCATAATTTATAATAAAATTTTGAAATTAAATTTATGATCAGAATGGACTTAAGATAAGAAAAAATAGTGATTAGTATTGGGTTTTAAAGCCAACTGAAGTTTAACGATAAAGGAAAATATTAATACTTAAAATCGCAAAACAAGCTTTTGCCAACCTATTTCGAACCTAAATTATGCATTGAAACTGACAAGAAGGGATCTTAGCATCTTAATTGGTGCTTTGACTGGACACATGAGTATCAATAGTTTTCTTGTTAAGCTCAATTTTAGTAACTCTAAATTTTGTAGGTTTTGTAGTACAGCTGAGGAGACCATGGCACACATTCTATGTGACTGTAAGTCACTATGTGCTTTTCGCCATAAACACTTCAAGGAGGATGTTGTCAATATAGGTGGCATAAGGAAGCAGCGCTATTTGGACTTAGTAGGATTTATTAAGGACATTGGAATTCTATAGCTGAACCTAAAGGGATGGTACAACAGATCTATGATCGCAGTGCCTTTTTGTGTATAACGAACCCTACATATAATTCTATCTATCTATTTCGAAAGATAAGTAATAGCTACTTTATCAAAATATATATTTTAACTGTGTGGAAAACAAAAATCAGAATGGTTTATTTATCTCAAAACCCACTATAAAATATTTAAAAATAAACTTTTTTTTACAGCAAAAGTACTTCAATTTAAAATAGTTTATTTGCATCCTTCAGACTCCTACAGTTTGTTCTTCTTTATTTTCTTTATTAAGGTCCATCATTGTTTCAAATTTAAAGCCGATTTTGATGTCAAAAATCCGATTTATATGATATTATCCGATTTTTGGTATCAATATGCATCTTTTTGCAACTTATTTTTTTAATCTGAAACATTGTGTGTTTGTCTTTTTATCGTTCCACTCTAAGCCAAATCCACTTACATTTGAATTTTTAAAAATGGCTTTTCAAATTTTCAAATTTTATGTAAAAACAAAGAAACGAACAAAAGACAGAAAAGAAGGAAGTTTAAAAATTCAAATTACATAAGTAAATGGTAGAATAAAAAGTTTATTACCAATTTTTTGGGCGAATAAAACTTTATGTACATTTTTTCTTATAAGTGCAAATAAGCAACCCATGCCGCTTTATCTACCCACAAGTTTAATTTTCGTTCTCTTTCCCTCACAAACAAAAAGTCATTACGACTTTAAAAATTTATTGCAAAAGTTTTCAATTTCGATTAATGGCATTTTTATTCACTGAGCTGTAATGAATACGATTTTTATACGGTTTTTCCCTTCCATAATACAAATAGAGAATGAAAAAGACATTAAGGATCAATCTTTATCGATTGAACTTCGATTTTTTTGACAAGAAAAAAAAACTCTGCATTCAGTATAAAATCCTTTTATCTTCTAAATCAGCAGTCTGAATGCTTAATTTAGATTTTAAAATTTTAATAATGTGTGCTAATCTGTGTGCTCTAATATTTTTGCAGATTGAGATGCTTTACAGCAAGTTTTTAAAAAGTACAAAATATGTCGAAAAAATGTCTGTTCATAATTTAAACGAATCAAACTTATTTTTTACATATTACACATATTAGATTACAGAATTTATTTTATACATCTAAAAAGTAACAAGTACAAATATTAAAAACAAAAAATGCCAAGAGCTCGATCAGAGCATGATTTTAAGTGCACTTTCTTATCGTCCTAGCTCTTGATTGTGCTTAAAGCTTGTAATTTGACTCAATTTGTGAGATTATTTGTGATCTTAATAAAAATCTTCAGGTTTCGAGTGACACAACATTTTAATCAAAATTCAATCTAAAAGCCTTAATATAATGTGTTAAACAAGTAATCTCACTCTCATCAAAATGATTCACAATTAAGTTAAATAATCTAGATCCGAGTCTGATGAAGATCAAAACTAAATATGTGAGACCCGATGTATTATGTCCCTGGTTTAAATCTCAGTAAAAAATATAAAAAAATGATCAAAAATTAGTTCTTGAAACATGCTCAAAATCAAGTTATTTTAAAGTTCAGCTTTTTACTTTTTTAACGCATTTTTGAAACTTGTTTCGAAAAGGTAGCTTAATAATTCACTTTATTCGTTCGTTTGTTCAGGCGGAGAAAAACTTTTTAACCAGATATCGTAGAGAGTTCTAGTTTGTTTTATTAGCTCAGGTCCATTGTTTTATTTTCGGGAATCGCGTTTAAAAGTCTTGAAACAATGTTTTTGTACTACAATTAATGATTTTTATATTTCATATGAAAAAACACGTGATGAGAGCGTTTAGAAATTCGAATTTATTTCTACCGGTAAAATTTTTTTGAATCCCAAAAAACCGTTAAATGATAAACTTCTTATATATGGAAATTCATTGGAACAGATTATTTAATTATACTATGACTAATGTTTTCGTAGTGCAACTTTTAGCGGGAAAATTTCAAATTATTTATTGACCGTTAAATAGTAAAGCCTTTCTATATAATCATTCATTATAATTATTTGCTAATTACACTAAAATTAATGATCTTCTAATCTCGTAATGATCTGTAAATGAACGCAAATAATTTGATAATCAAATACTGATCGCTGCGTCAAAAACGCGCTTAAGTCCCTCGATCA